TGGTGTGGCCATCCCCCCGGGGGGTGATTTCTCGCTTTTTGTCTCTCTGTCTCTCTCTGTCTTTCTGGCGAGCGCACGTGCCCTATAGCTAAAACCTCTCCAAAAGAAAAAAAGAAAGAAAGAAAACAAAGACACGCCAATCCCACATGGTAACCACGGCCTGAATCCTCGGCCTGACCTGTCTGGGACATGTCGGGCACACTGCAAATGCCAGGATCCGGGAGAACGACCAGACCCTGGTGGAGGATGTAACTCTTTCTCTCTCTTGTTCCCTCACGTATGTACACACACTCTATCAGGAATAAAAGAAATAAAAAAATATTTTAAGTTTTTGCCGCAGGGTGTGTGTACTCACTGGAGAGAGACAGAGACAGAGACAGAGAGGGAAAGTGAGAACTCACTCCCTGGGGGGTGGCCACACCACAATCCCTTCTCCTCCATTCTCCTCCTGGGATTTTGGGCATGCACACGCATCCGGTGTGATTTTTAAGCCACCGGGTCCGGGACTCCAACTGCACTTGGCCATGTGGTAGTCCAACGCCTTAACCACTGTGTCACCTGCTGGTCCCCAAACAAAATGATTTTTAAAGAACCTGTGCTGTTGGGCTGTCAGGAAAGTCATGACGTATTTTTGCATAGAAAAGCAGAAAAAAATTCAACATGACTCTCGCGATAACTTAAAAAACGCCACATCATGGAACACGCATCCCAGCCGGAACAGCGCCACACGGAGGCCCTGGTCAGAAGTCCCCTGTTGGGGGTGGCAAAGGCAGCTACGCAGACAGAGAAGGCAGTGGCCGTACGGAAGGTCAGCTTTGGCGTGACCTTGGCTCAAAGCGTCAGCCCTGAGTTCAGGAGGAAGACGACTTACGAAATGGCCAGGTGTCCTGAGATCTTTCCCCTCAGAGTGACCGTGTAGACTTGGGGCCCATTCAGGAGGGGTGAGGTCAAGTCAGGAGCACAAAATGTGGGCGCTGGAGATGATGCTGGGGCCACCGACCCGGGGCGGTAATGCTCAGTACAGAGGCACAGGACGTGGGGCTCTAGGGGGCAGCTGGGGCACCTCGCCTGGGAGCTGAGGGTGTCGGCATGGTTACCTTCTTCTTTTTGGAAAAAAAAATATTTATTTTGTTTGTTATTATTATTATTGTTATTATTATTTTAATTTGACCAGACAGAGACAGAGAGAGAGAAGAAAAGGGAGAAAGCAAGCTGCCAGGTCCGGGCCTCAAACTGCGGTCGGCCGTGTGAGAGTCCAGCACCTTAAGCACTGAGCCACCGGCTGGCATCTTCTTTTTTTTTTTTTAAGAAGGCTTTACCACAAGGGGTGTGCACTCCCCAGAGAGAGACAGAGGGAGGGAAATCAAGAAGTCACCCCTGGGGAGATGGCCATGCTGCAATCCCTTCTCCTCCATTCTCCTCTCGGGATCTTGGGCACGCATGCACATGCACCTCTCGTGAGATTCAAGCCACCGGGTCTGGGTCTCGATCCGTGCTCAGCCACGTGGGAGTCCAGTGCCCTAACCACCACGCCATCTACTGGCCCCACCTTTTTCTTCAAAGTTTCTGTCTTTCATGGAGGGAAGCACATACGTGCATGCCTGTGTGTGAAGCGGGAGAGGCACCCTGGACAGGCTCGTCACACCGCAATCCTTTCTCCCGCCCTCCGGCTCATCAGGTCTCGGGCGCACATGCCCACTGCGTTCCAGGCCGACTCAGAATCCGAGCTCGCAGTGGCCGTGTGGCTTCCAGAACTGCAGATGGGCGCAGCAAAGCCTGCACCACCAGGCCGGCCAGCATCGGCCCCATGAAGGGCTTCGTGTGGGAAGGGCCCACCTCTGTGCCCCAGCGTCTGCCTCACTAGGAGGGTCGGCTTGGTATGAGAGTAAGGATGGAGGAGGGATAGCGAAGGTGACAGTGACAGAGGCGCTGAGGTCTGGGACAGCCCCTTTCGCTGACAAGGAGCATGAGGCCCGAGGAAGGCCGGCCACAGCCACGCGGTGGGGTGCGCAATGCAGCCCAGACTCACTTCCGGCCCTACCTGCATGTTGGGGGAATCCACCGAAGTCTGAGCAGTCCCGCCTTCAGCCAATCCTCCCTCCCTGCCCCACACACACTCCATCCCACCCCTACTGCAGGCTCAGCTCCTACAGGGTGGGCCTGGGTGCCCTCTGCAGCTCCAGCTCATCGTTCCCAAATTGCTCGGTTCTTGTTCATTTCCCAGAGGGCACGTGCATTCTACCAGAGATGGCGGCAGAAAGCCCCCTGAATAGGGCACGGTTACACCCCAACACCTTCTCCTCCATGTCTCCACCCTATCCATTTTGGGGGCACACATGCACAAATGCCTGGCATGATTTATGAGCCACTGGGGCCAGGATTCAAACCACACGGTCACCACGTGGGATGCAGCTCCCTTAGCCAGCGCTCAGCGGGCGGGCCCTCGCCATGAGCTCCATTGGCAGCCCGCACCCCTCTGCCACCTGCTCTCCCTGTGCGCCTCTCCCACAGCAGACGGGGGGCACCCTGTACGTCTTCATCTCCCCCCTACACAGCCTAGCCGGATCTGGGACCCTGGCTGGGGCTCATCGGGTGTGGGATCCGAACACCCTGGGCGTTAACTCTCTCTGTTCAGATACTAGCCCCCCGACTTCTGTGTGACGGGGCTGCTCTGCCTCTGAGCAGGGCCGGGAGTCTGGGTGCTGTCAGGGGTGGGGGATGGAGGTTTGGTGGGGGTACGGTCCCAGGCTAGGCGAACCCCATTACCAGGAAGGAATGGAGTGCGTGCACACATTCAAATGCCTGGGAAGGGTGACCGGGCCGGACTCGAACTCGGCAACTTCCATGGGAGGGAGCCTGTTGGTGGCCGCTGTGTCTCTGGCCAGGGGCACCGCGTAGCCTTCGTCTCTAAGCAACCACCCCGCCAACCTCCACGAGCTGGAAGGGGACCCGTCCCCGACCACCGCCTCCCGCCTCCCGCCTCCCGCCTCCCGCAGTGGGGCCCGAGGTCTTTACCTGCCTTCTTCTTGGCGTCCTTCCCGGTTGAGAGCGAGAAGCTCAGACAGGCCGTGGAGGACTGATAGATCAGCTGGTACGGGGAGTTCACGCCCATGGCGGAGACACCTGGAGGGAACTCTGGGGGGACGACAGAGGGAGTCTTTCAATTAAAAAAAAAAAATTAAACCAAAAATGTCACGTAGATCTCTTTGTTCCAGCAGCACGGTGCAGTTTAACGTGCCTTATTGTGACAAGACAACCAGACCCTGGGAGAAAGAGACTTGAGGGACTAGCGGATGGCCTAACGGTTAGGTTGCTGGACTTCCATGTAATTAACGGTGGTTCGAGTCCCAGACCCGGGAGCCTAAAACACGCCAGGTGCGTGTGTGTGCATGCCCAAGATTCCAAGAGGAGAATAGAGGAGAAGGGACTGTGGTGTAGCCACCCCCCAGGGGGTGATTTCTCGCTTTCTGTCTCTCTGTCTCTCTGGCAAGTACATGCGCCCTATAGCAAAACCCTCTTTTTTATAAAAAAAAAAAAAAAAGGGGGGGGGAGAACAAAAATGTTTTTTAAAAAAAAAAAAAAAAAAAAAGGGGGGGGGAGAACAAAAATGTATAAAAATAAATGTCTTTGGGGCCAGCAGATGGCATGTATGTTATGTATGTTTCTGGACTCCCCCCACGGCCAGCTACAGTTCGAGTTCTGGACGTGGTAGCTTGCAAATCACACCTGGAGAACGGTGTGTGCAGGCCAAGATCCCAGGAAGAGAATAGAGGAGAAGAGAGTGTGGCTAGTCCTCCAGGGGCCGAGGGGTGATTCCTCACTTTCCCTATCACTCTCTTTCTCCAGTGAGTGCAAGTGCTGTATGGTAAAAACCTCTAAAAAAATTGTTTTAAATAAATGTCTTTGGTCTTGCATCTAATAGAAATCAGTGGACATTGTAAGTACTCACCAGTTCTTATCAAAGCAAGAAAAGTGATCATGCCAGTTTTTTGTAAGAATTATTTTATTCAACTTTTTTATTTATTTTGATTTGCTCATAGAAGGACAGAGTGAGAGAAAGGGAGAGAAAGTGAGAAAGCAAGCCGCCAGATCCGGGATTTGAACTGTGGTCACCCATGTGGGAGTCCAGTGCCCTTAACCACCACACCACCTTCTGGTCCCATCGTGCCAGGTTTTTGTTTTTTTAAAGCACAGTGATTTTCTTTGTCCCTGAATGATTGTATGAGAGCAATTAAAATAGGAGCCTCTCATGCCTGCCGGTTACAAAAATATTCAAGGGCTTTATAACTGTTTTTTCAAGTTTATTCCGTGAGTGAAAGAGACAGAGCGACAGGATCCCCAACAGGGTCTCGATGCTGTGACCCCCCCCCCAGCCTCAGCGGCTCCAGATCCCAAGTGCACACATGCCCGATAATAACCACTATGGCTGAACTAGAAGTGTACCCATGGAGGCCCCTGGACTTGAACTGGGGACCTTCCCACGCGGGATTGCCCCACAGTGCACTGTTTTACCACCTCACCACCAGCTGGTCATCGATTACTGTTTATTTCAGTTTAGTTTTTTGTTATATGCATGTGTACTTGCCAGAGACAGAGAGAGGGAAAGTGAGAGATGACCCCCAGGAAGGATGACCCCGCGCAATCCCTTCTCCTCCACTCTCCTCTCAGGGTTTTGGGCATGCACGCACACGTTCTGGGCGTGATCTGCAAGCTACCAAGTCTGGGACTTGAACTGTGGTTGGCCATGTGGGATCCAGCTGCCTTAACCACCGCACCACCTGCTGGCCCCCACCTATCACTTCTTCTTCTTTTCCACGGAGACATGGTTCTCCTTCCTTGGGTGCTGATGAATTGGGCTCTGCCGCACCACAGGTCAGCGACGTTGGATGGGACCCAGCAGGTCTCCCAACGAGACCCTCACGGGCATGTCCCGAGAACTTCAGGGTACTAGTAATCCAGCTACACTATCGGCCGATGTTGAACCTCTGCCCATCGGGGGGCCTGCCAAGGCCATGGAAGTGCCAGGCAGAGATGCTCAGTGGGTGAGTGATCTGCTAGGTCAGGGAAAATGGTACAGAGAATCTTTGTCTCTCTCTCTCTCTCTTTTTTTTAGGTTTTTGCCATAGGGCACACACCTGAGAGAGAGGGAGAAAGAGAGAGGGAGGGAAGGTGAGAAATCACCCCCCACCCCCGGAAGATGGTCATGCCACAGTCCCTTCTCCACTCTTCCCCTGGGATTTAGGGCACACACACACACACACATGTGCCTGGTGTGAGTTTCAAGCTGCCAAGTCCAGGACTTGAACTGTGGTCGACTATGTGAGAGTCCAGTAACCTAACCGGCTCACCACCAGTTGGCTCTGGTGAAGAAGAATTTGTAATGCTTCTCTGCAAACCCTCCCAGTAGTCAGTACTTATAGGAATTCCAAACGAATTGAGTACTTATAGGAATTCAATACATTGATTACACAGCAAAGCTGGAGTCGCAGGTTGGACGCTGCTGCTCGGCAGGCTGAGGCCACCCGAGAGGCTGGGTTTGGTCCCCAGGAGCCGAAAAGCCGGGCGCAGTGGTGCATCCTCCATGCAGGAGGCTGAGCAGAAGGATCCCAACAGAACGAGACTGTCTAAAATATTGCACATGTGTGTGCATGCACACGGGTCATAGAACATTACACACATCAAAAACTCACAACTTACTTGGTTTTAAAAATAATGGGGGTTGGGGCCGGCAGGTGGTGTGGTGGTTGAGGGCGCTGGACTCTCACATGATCAACTGAGGTTCAAGTCTCAGACTTGGTGGCTTGCTTTCTCGCTTTCTCTCCCTCTCGCCTCCCTTTCCCGAGCAAATTAAATTAAATCAATAAATCAATAAAGTTAAATAAAATCATTCTTTTCTAAAATAATAATAGTAATAGGAGCCAGGCCAGTATAGTGGCATGGTCGTTAAGGCACTGGATTCCCACATGGCTTACAGTGGTTCAAGTCCTGGAGCTGGCGGCTTGACAATCACAACAGATCAATCAATCAATCAATCAATCAATCAATAAATGTTCTGGGTTTTTTTTTTTTTTTGGTTTTTTTTTTTTAGATTTTTGCTATAGGGCACTTGCACTCACTAGAGAGACAGAGAGTGAAAGTGACAAATCACCCCAGGAGAAATGTCCATGACATAATCCCTTCTCCATTTTCCTCCTGGGATTTCAGGCATGCACACACATACACAGCATGAGTTTCAACCTCTGGGTCCAGGACTCAAACTGTAGTCAGCCACACGGGAATCCAGCGCCTTATCCACCATGCCACATGCTGGTCCCGATAAATCAAAAATATGTTTTAAAAAAATTTATATATATATATATACACATATATATATAGTTTTGTTTTGTGTTTTGTTTTTGTTTTTTTGAGGTTTTTTTAGAGAGATTTTCACTGTAGGGCGCGTGCGCTGGCCAGACAGACAGAGAGACAGAGAGACAGAAAGCGAGAAATCACCCCCCAGGGGGGATGGCCACGCCGCAATCCCTTCTCCTCCATTCTCCTCTCGGGACCTTGGGCACGCACGCACACGTGCCCGGCGTGAGTTTTAAGCCACCGGGTCCGGGATGCGAACCACGGTTGACTATGTGGGAGTCCAGTGACATAGCCATTACACCAACTGCTGGTTCCCAAAAATATATGTATATTTTTGAGAGATTTTTCGCTACAGGGTGCATGTGCTTACCAAAGAGACAGAGAGACAGAAAGTGAGAAATACACAAGTGCATGTGTGTGGGTGCCCAAAGCCTTCTGAGTGGAGGAGAGGGTTGCAGTGTGGCTATACCCATGGGGGTGCTTTCTCACTCTCTCTGGCAAGCGCACGAATCCTGTAGCAAAATTTAAAGTAGGGGCAGGGGTGGGGGACGACAGGGTGAGTCTAGGTGCCTGAATAGACATTTCTCAAAAGAAGACACAAAAATGGCAAACAGGTGTACACGAAGAAAGTCTGAGGTCAGCAGGTGGCGTGGTGGTTAAGGCACTGGACTCCCACATGGCTGACTGCCGTTCAAGTCCCAGACCTGGCAGCTTGCTTTCTCACTTTCCCTTCTCTCTCTCTCTCTCTCCCTGGTGAACACACGTGTCCTGTGGCAAATTAAAATAATCATAGTTAATACAATTAAATAAATGAGTCTTTTAAAAAAAGAATTATTGGGACCAGCAGTTAGCGTAATGGCTGTGTTGCTGGACTTCCACGTAGCTGACCGCGGTTCGAGTCCCGGACCTGGTGGCTTATACTCATGCCGGGTGCGTGTGCACCCAAGATCCCGAGAGGAGAATGGAGGAGAAGGGATTGAGGCATGGCCACCCCCCTGGGGGGTGATTTCTTGCTTTGTGTCTCTCTGTCTCTGTCCGTCTGGCGAGTGCACGCACCCTATAGCAAAAACCTCTCAAAAAAAAAAAGAAGAAGAATTATTAACTTTATTCATTCATTTATTTTTAATTAGATTAGAAAGAGAGAGAGAGAAAGCCACCAAGTCCAGGACTCAAACCGTGGTCAGCCATGTGGGAGCGTCCAGAGCCTTAACCACGCCTGCTGCTGGTCCCTACATAAATCACCCTTTAAGGAAAAAGGAAAGAGCTCAACGTCAGCAGGACGCCAGCTGAAACCACGCCGAGGTGTCACTCACACCTGCTAGAACGGCTGGTGTGAGCAAGACAGGAGGCAGGGGCTGGCCTGGGGGTGAAGAGGGAACCCTGAGCACCGGGGCGCTTTGTCCCTGTCCCGGTTCTCTTCCCACCCAGGCCTGGGCGCTGAGGCTGTGGGGACCCGCCGTCACTCAGCACCTCACTCAGCGCGGACATGCCCGACGCCTCAGAGGTTCTGGTCCTGGGCTCCGCCTGGGCCTGTCGTCTCACTCCCATCTCAGCGCTTGGAAATGCCAACGCGGATGGAATGCAAATGACTGCAGGCACCACAAACGCCGGCACGCGGGTCTGCGGGGAGTCGCGCACCACTCCTGGGACCACGGGTCTGCGGGGAGTCGCGCACCACTCCTGGGACCACGGGTCTGCGGGGAGTCGCGCACCACTCCTGGGACACAGCAAGCCCGCCTTTGGGTCTAGAGCCCAAAGCAATGAAGGCGGTGCGGGGAAGACATGTCCGCAGGCCCACGCTCACTTCAGTACTGCTCGTGACAGCCACGTCGGGGGCTCAACCCAGGGGCCCTCAGCACATGGACGGCAGGAAAACAGGGCTCTCTCGCGCACACACACCATGGAATACGATTCGGCCATGAAGGAGGAAATGGGTGAACCTGGAGACACTGTCCACGCAATAAGACAGATGCTATATGACCTCATTCATACGTGGAAACTAAAATCGTCCGACTCATAGGCGCACGATGGAGCATGCGTCGTGGTGGTGGGCAGGTGCTGAGCAAGGGTACAAACTTGTTTTATTTCTATTTTTTTTTTTTTTGGAGAGGTTTTTGCTATAGGGCACATGCGCTCGCCAAACAGAGAGACAGAGAGACAGAAAGCGAGAAATCACCCCCCAGGGGGGATGGCCATGCTGCAACCCCTTCTCCTCCATTCTCCGCTCGGGATCTTGGGCACGCACGCACACGCGCCCGGCATGAGTTTTAAGCCGCTGGGTCCAGGACTTGAACCTGCGGTCGACTACGGGGGAATCCAGCGACAGAGCCATTACTCCAACTGCTGGTCCCAGAAATTTACCCACATTTCTGTGCTTTAATGCTTTATTCATTTTTGCTGCTCACTGACTAAATGGATCATATTTCATTTTTCTCCCACTGAGGGCCCTTTTGGTCATTTCCGAAGTTTTTGCCATCCCAAACAATTCGGCAATCAGCATTCTCGCACGACTACCTGCACACGCGTGTGACCTTCTCAGCCAGTGCGGCCCTTCGGTGTGGTCTGTGCACTGGCAGTGGGGTCATGCAGGCTGTGACCAGGGCAATGCAAACACAGAAGGAAAATGTCGAGAAACCTTTGTAGCCGCTGACATTGTGACTTTTTAATCACATTTTTAGAGGACCTATCCACAGCAGACCAGAATTTTAAAACGGGTCCTTCACCGTAGGTGGTTTGAGAAGCGCAGCTCTGGGGACCAACCCAGAAGAGGCGTGCTGGGTTGTACGGTGCAGACACCCCACCAAATGGACACCACCCATCTCTCTCCCCGGGAACTGCACCAAGGTGTCCGCTCACCTGGAGCCCCTGGGGGCCCCCGTTTCTCCACACCCACCGCAATGACTGGAAATGTCAGACTTCCCAATGGAACATTCTACACGCCTTTGCGTTCTCGTGGGGGTGTCTGCACCTCTCACCTGGAGGCCGGAGCTCGGGCACCCACCTTTCTCAGTCTGCCCGCCGTAGCCACTTCTGCTGACTGTGCCCAGCAGGTAGTCAAAGGCCATCTCCTTGGCATTGAGGTGGAGGAGCTGGCTGGCCTCCACGAAGCGCCTGGTAATGTCCAGGGGGTTTGCACCTATTAAGGGAACGGTCAAAGCCAACACCCCTGCCTCCCAGCATGGCTAACGTCCCAGGGAGGGAGCCCTGGAAATGCCTCAAGGATGTGAGAGTGGCGTCCAGCGCGAGGGGCTCCTGGGGAAAGGGCCTGAAGCTCTCAAGGCCCATCGGGTAGCACTTTTCTCTCTGCCTACCTACAGGCCAGGGCACCGAGGCTGGTGGCATCTTTTTTTTTTTTTTAAGAGGTTTTTGCTATAGGGTGCATGTGCTTGCCAGACAGACAGAGACAGAGAGACAGAAAGCGAGAAATCACCCCCCAGGGAGGATGGCCATGCCGCAATCCTTTCTCCATTCTCCTCTCTTGGGATCTTGGGCACACATGCACACACGCCCAGCGTGAGTTTTAAGCCACCGGGTCCGGGACTCGAACCATGGTCGACTACGTGGGAGTCCAGCGACATAGCCATTACGCTAACTGCTGGTCCCAGCTGGTGGCATCTGAATGTACTCAGCACTGAGATGCTCAGTGCCCAGCGATGCTCTGGTCCCGGCCTCGGCCCTGGCATGACGCCCTCACCTCAGAGCAGCCTGCTTTGTGTAACTCTCCCTGGTTCTGGATCTGCTGGGCTCTGGTTCTGTCTGGGTTCCTATCAAGGGACTCTCCTGGCGTACAAACTGCACACGTCCGCCCCCCAGCTCCGCTTCATCCCTGCGAACTCCACCTCAGCACCTCCGCCCGCTCACTGCCCACGGCTGGCCTTCCGGTGGCTCTGCAGAGCCGGGCGACGGGAAGGGGAACGGGGGAGCTCAGAGGTTGAGAGGCTGGCTCCTGGGAGTGGAGCGAGGAGAATAACTGAATTCCTACAGCAGACCCTCCTCCTTGGGCTCATGCTTACTATTCAGGAGCTCCAAAAGTTCACGGAAAATGCAATAAAATTACAAGTTAATTTTGCTGTAAAGAGATTTTGAAACCTATGCATCATCTTTTTACAATATATACCTGTTCAGCACGTTATACATTTTTTTGTTTTGTTTTTTGAGATATTTTTGCTATAGGGCACGTGTGCTCTCCAGAGAGACAGAGAGAGACAGACAGACAGACAGAAAATGAGAACTCACACCCCAGGGAGGATGGCCATGCCACAATCCCTTCTCCTCTACTTTCCTCTTGGGCATGCGTGCACATGTGCCCAGCGTGAGTTTCAAGCCACAGGGTCCGGGACTCGAACCACAGTTGGTCGTGTGGGAGTTCAGCAACGTAACCACTAGCCCACCTGCTGGTCCCTGTTCTGCACCTTTGGAAGCCCCCTCGTATACTATCACCTGTCAGGGTGGGTGTGGTGGACACACGCGTGCGCGCACACACGCACGCACACACACGGGCACGGAGGCGGGTCTGGCGGGCCCCCTTACCGGCGGCGGACTCCACCATGGCCTTCATCTTCAGGGCGAGCAGCTCCGTCAGCAGGTGGATGGACTGCCGCTGGAACCTCTGCAGGACCTCCTGGCCGTTGGGCACCGGCCGGGGCTGGGGGGGAGAGGGGCTGG